ATATATGTATCACCCTGAAAAGCTTCCTTGATACCCTTTATAATTCCTCCAGTGGTCACAAAGATTTTACCCTATAACTCTTTTCTAAATGGTTTTTCCATTTCCCATTTAGGTCTATGATCCATTTGACTTCATTTTTGTATATACTGCAATGTATAGTTCAATTTAATTTTTGTGCATATGGATATTCATTTGTTACAGAACCATTTATTGAAAGACTATCCTTGGCATTGCCTTTGTACTTTTGTCAAAAATCAATTGATCATTTATGTGCAACTCTATTTCTAAAAGAGATAGCTGTCTATTGATCTATTTTTGGCCTTAATACTAATACCATACTTTCTTGACTCCTACACCTTTATTGTAGTCTTGAAGGAGGATCTATAAGTCCTCCAACTTTATTCATCTTTTTCAAAATCATTTTGGCTATTTTGGCTCCTTTGCATTTCCATATGCATTCTGGACTCAGCTTATACATTTGTACCAAAAACATCACTGGGATTTTCATTTGAATTACATTAATTCTATGGATAAATCTGGGAAGAACTGATATCTTAACAATATTGTACCTTCAGAACTATGAACACAGTAGATAGTTCATCACTCATTTAGTTATTTAGTTTCTCTCAGCAATATTTTCTAGTTTTCAGAGTATAGGTCTTACATATTTTTATTAAATATATTCCTAAACATTTCATGTTTTTGCTATTTTAAATTATATTTTTTTTTATTTCAATTTCTGATCGTTCACTGACAGTACATAAAAATACAACTGGTGTTTGTAGATTGATCTTGTATCCTACAGTCTTGTTAAATTCCCTTTTTTAGCTCTAAGATCTTTTTTGGAGATTCTATAGCATTTTCTACATAGATGATCACAGAGTCTGTGGATAAAGATAATTTTGCTCCTTAACTTCCAAGTGACATGTCTTTAATTTCTTTTTCTCGCTTTATTGCACTGGTTACAACTTCCAGTACAATGTTGACTAGAAATGGTCAAATAGACATCTTTGTCTTTTTTTAATATTAAAAGAAAATCAATCAGTCTTTTACCAATAAGTATAATGTTAGCTGTAGATTATTTGTATATGCCCTTTATTAAGTTGAGGAAGTTACTAATTTATTCTTAGGTTTCTGAGTTTTTATCAGAAAGGGTGTTGGATTTTGACAAATGCATTTTCTAAACCCACTGGGATAATCATATAGTTTTCCTTTTTTGTCTGTAAATATGGTGAACTACATTGACTTTTTTTTTTCAAATGTTAAACTAACTTTGCATTTTTTGAACAAACCTCACAAATTCATATTATATATTTTATATATTGCTGATTTGATTTCATAAAAATTTGTTAACAATCTTTTTATCTATATTCATGAGGGATACTGGTCTGTAGTTTTCTGATCAGTTTTGCTAGAAGAATATTAATTTCATTGATCTTCTAAAAAACAGCTTTTTATAATTGATTTTTTCTGTTTTCAAGTTCAATAATTTCTGCTCTGATCTTTATTATTCATAATAGTCCCTTTATTTTCTTTTAATATTCATAGAATCTGTAGGATGTCGGTCTCTTCCTCCCGTAACTGATAATTTGTTTCAGAGAAAGGAGTCAACAGAGCAAAGTTCAAGCTTCTTTGGCTCACAAAGAAATAAGGCAGCAGAGCAGAAATTTAAAAACACACACACAACATGAGTCAAATTAGTATTAAAGCTTAAAAAAACATAGATCAAAATTACAGGTGACACCAAAATACAAAAGTAAGTCTGGGCAAAGAGCTAGAGTGTAGGAAGAACACAGCAGAGTATCAAATGATTATGCAATTTCAAACCTTGATAATGGAGAAAGATACTTTTGGGCTTTGTCTGTTTTGACCTCCAGAATTTAATACAAAACCTCTTGCTTTCTTGTAATTTTTAAAGAGATAAATATATTCCTTATTTATCTAGTTACGAGTAATTTAAAAAGTTTGTATAATTGACATTTAAACATTTATCTTAATTTTTCTGAATCCTACCAAAAAATTTTCCATATTTTTGTCAGTATTAACTGTAAACTTGAAGGCAGTAATTATGAATAATATTTAGTATTATAGTTATTTGTATATTTGTACTATCTTTCTAAGAACACTTTTTGAGGAAAAGGAAGGTATCTTATTTATCTCTGAATCTCTCACATTGACATTTATAGAGCATCACTTAGAGAAAACTCACTTATTTAGTGAATCCTATGGAGTGCCTATTAAGTCCTAGGTCCTATATGGGGTGGGGAATGCAAGGTGAGTAGAAAGTGACTGTGAGGAGGCTTTCTTTAGACTAGTGGAGAAGATCAAGAGTAATCAAATCATCACACAAACAGATGTAAACTGAACAATGAGGAGCACTGGGTGGGTGATTAGGTAGCATCTCTTATAAAAGCTACTTCCAGAGTGATTAATGATGAGACTCTAATAACACAGAGAGAACCAGAGCCTATCATTCTAACGTAGCCCCCATTTTTAGAACCACTATATCCAATACCTCATGTAGAACTTCCTTCGGAAATAACTTCGGAAGAACAGAAATACACCATGGGATAGTTCACATCATATTTTACAACTTGGAACATTGTCCCTTTCAGACAAGAAGGAAGTTAGAAAGGTATCTTGGTGGTGATCTCATGAAGGTGAAACATAACACTCAAAGCCATTTTGTCAGAATACAAACATTGAGGATTGATATAGATAATGTAACCCCCAATCAAACTGCAGAATAAAACAAGGTATGTTCAATGAAAGCATGTACTCATTCATTTAGCAAGTATCTGTCAAATATCTTATATGCAAGTATGGCCCTACAAATAGAGCAGTGAAGGTCCCTGTGTTCAAGAAGGGAATGACAGAGGGGTGGGGACATATGATGAACAAACAAAAGACCACTGGGAGACTTCTCATTCTCTGCAAAGGCAGCCTCCCGTATTGGTGAAATACTTGTCTGCCCATCAAAGCAACTTAGACTCTTCACCCAACCAACAGAGATCAGAAGCAAGAAATATTTCCACCTGAACGAGGTACCCCACGCTCACGGCATTGCTGTATCTGTGCCACCCTCTTCTGTTCCTTTCTCAACAGTGATTTGCAACACCGTTCAGCACGGTGGCCTTATCTGCTACCTTCATCATTCCAAACAGGTTGCACATTCAGCAGCCAAGGTAAAGAAAGGGGAGACTTCTCTCTATCTGCATGTTACATCCACTCTTGTGAGGCAGCTTGAGCCTCCAGGAAGCAGCCAGGGTTCCAAAGCGAGAGCTTCCCTCTACCACAGAAGTAGGACAAAATGCTCATGTCTAGTCTGAGGAGATCTAGTCCAGCATCCCTGATCATGATCTCAAGTAAATCCCCAAAGACACCCACTATTTGTCTCCTCCGAGCAGTTTAAATACTCCCAAAGTGTCCGAGTTTCTCCAGGTGCAGTAAGTTTTTGTGTAAGTTCTATTGTTGGCCACGACCATGCTTAGAGACTTCAAACTACAGACTAAACAATAATCTCTTCTGCCCTTTCAAACTCTCAAAAAAGAAAAAAGATTCCAGGTAAATAGCTTTTCAAAAAAAAAGACATCCAATTATACAGACTCTAATTACTGGTAATAACTTGGAAGTCTTAAGCAATTGAACAATTTTGGCTCAAAACAATTAAACGGAACTGTTGATAAAATCACCCCCTAGACTCAACACAACTATAAATGCAAAGGGAGTGAGGGGGCTTACTGACTCATCGTCCCCTCTGCCCATCCCCAACGCCAGGCACCCCAGACTGCACAGATGAAGGCTTTGTTCAAATTACAAGTCATAGGAAAAGCCTGCTTTTCAGGCAAGATTATTACATTTGACTTTTCAATTCGGAATCTTGACCTTTCCAAACACATAGAACTGATGCTATAAACATTTAAGAAACACTTTCCATTCTATGTATTATGTATGTATGTATGTATGCATGTATGTATGTTTGTATTTCACTTATGTAAGTCAAACATAAGGATTAGGCCTTCGAGTAATAGATATTGACTTTAAGGTCATTTGGGGAATGCAATCTTTTTGTCAAAAAGCCCTTTCTCTTAAGAATATAAAGGTTCTCTGGACAAGTACATATTCTGGATTCTAATAAAAAATTCTAGGCACCTATATTTTCTTCATTTAGCAACAGCTTGAATAACAGTAAATTTGGTACTTTCTTAAAAGAGACCCCTACCTCTACTTTGAGCACTACATTAAAATTCTTAGGAGAAAAGTTGCTAGTTCTCAGCAATACAACCCTATCAGAAGGAGCTCCAAGCAGGAACAATGAAGATTGTGTACAAATGTTAAGTTATATAGCAAAAGGTAAACAGTACACTTTGATGCTTTGCCTTATCTGCAGAACATATACCTTGCTCCACAGACTCTGAGAGTGGTAAGCTGCCTTCTAGCAAACATTCATGGGGTATTGTATAATTAATAACTATCACTGGTGAAGAAATGATGAAAAGAATTAATGGCTTTGTTTGGTAAGACTAAGCAAAATATCCATGTGATTTTTTTTTTAAAGACTGTGATATAGCCCTGGCCGGTTTGGCCCAGCGGTTAGAGCGTCGGCCTGTGGTCCAGAGAGACCTGGGTTCGGTTCCCGCTAAGGGCACGCACCTCAGTTGCAGTTTGTCCCCGGCCCTGTTTGGTTTGTGCGGATGGCAACCATTCGATGTGCCCCTTTCACGTCAATGTTTCTCTCTCTCTCTCCCCCTCCCACTTTATCTGAACAAAAAACAAAAAAATGTCCTTGGGTGAGGATAAAAAAAAAAAAGTGATATATTCTAAAATGTATCTCATAAGTAGGCAAATAAATCCCTGTGTTATGACAAATGGAGTTTCATTTAGTGGTTGGAGATAGCTAATACCCCTTTAGTTAGCAAAATTAACACATATTCTAAGCCCTGAAAGAATTTCTCTGAGAAAAATGAGAGACTGTCATACTTAAAAAAAAAATCACTCACAGACTCCTTGCCCATCTTCTTTTGTAGGCGTGTTTGCCACTGGACGGCTTGCATGACGATGGCTTCCCACCTTCTTTCAAGATTGACAATGATCAGCTGCATGGGCTGGTGGTCTGCGTTGAGATTGCAGGTCTCCCCGTCATCGAGAAGATGCTGGCACAATCTCAGGATGGAGGCCACGCCACGCCGCCGCTGCTTGATTTCACAACAGAGGGACTGAAACACAGACAGGGATGGAGCCATGAGTGCACAGGGCAGAGTTTCTAAGGCATGAAATATACTCTTCCACCATAATTTCATAGTAGTGATATGCTCAGCCGTGAGCAATTGAACAAGGACGACTCTGGAGGTGCCATCAGATTGGAGGTCTCTTATAGATACCCCTCTCATGCCAAGTAATTTAGCTGCACCCCTAATCTTCTCTTTTTCACTGATTTCTGCATCTAAAATGTTGGGTCCCACCTCAACACCTAGGTGATTAACAATTTATAATTTAACGAAATATGTCTTTAGGTTACATATGAATGCCAAACAGATTACATGCTTTGATTCAAAGTCCCAGGAAACACAAAAGACAGAAGTTCTCCAAACAGAAATTTCCCAATTCACTCTCAGATATTTTGGAGCCCAAGTTTAGTTTTCTATGGGCTGGGTATAAGTGAAATAAGAATATAAAGAATTTTGATCTATAACATCTATTATTTGACACACAGAAAGGGTTAAGCACCATTGTTCTTCTGAAGCTTGACCAACTAAGCAGTAATGTTCTAAAAACAGAAGTTAGGATACTGGAGCATTACTGCACTATTTGTTGGTTGCTGTGTTTCTTTTAGTAACTGATCACACTATTTAAAAAGGATATGCACGCGTCAAAGTAGCATTCTGCCTCTGGAAGCATCTGTATTGTTGCAGTGACCCTAAGCTGAACAATTCAAGCAAAATAGTGGATACATATGTCTAAAAATATTATATCTTTTCTTTGCCTACGGATAGTGTGTAAGTGATATTCTAATTCAAAGCCTTTAGGAGAAATGATGATTATATCCACAAACATCACCGCATTACTAATCTCCTGCTACTGCCACAATCGGACTGTTCTAACAGTTAACAGATTGCTTATTAATCAACAAGGGTAAACAAGACAATGCAATTTCGTTTAGTGGGAGAGTTTTAATGCCTGAAAGTATTTGTGCTTAAAATGTTAATCTAGATAAGGCTTCATTAGAAGTCTTAAAATGATAAAGTGCGGCTCACTGAAATGTGCGTGGAGTGGTAGTCGATCAGCAGGTGGACATTTCATACAGATGTTCTACTTATTGCTATAGTACATGCGGTAGCCATTTAAATGACCCTATCTCAGTAATAGCTGGAATTCTATTATTTCTGTAATGAGAGAACCCTGCACCCTTAATATTTCTGAATTTAAAATAAGGTGAATGACAATTTCCCAAACCTCTATTTATGGCAAAATATGACTAGGAGTTTTATTATTCAATTTATACCAATGTGGCTTTTTTAGTTACGTTTCCTGAACTTATCCTTATTTCTTTTCCTAGGGTTCATCACTATTTTCCTACATAACTCCTGATAGTAACCACCAGGTCTGACAAATTCCTTTACTGATGCTATTCATTAGCTCAGTGCGGAAGGAAGAGAAACCCCCAGACGTTCAAAGATGAAATTTGAGGTCGACTAAAGCCATAGGTGTTGTTTCCGTTTGTTTCAACGCTGCTAACTGCCTCAGCCCACACGCATTCTCTCTCTCAAAGCTGCTTTTTAAAAAACTGTTGACATTCAATATTTGACTATTGGATTTTCACAATTGTGCAATTTTTTCTCTATATATCCAGAGAAGTTAGTCTATATTCTGGATTAATAATTTACCCTATATGCTCATTTAGAGATTCACAGTACTTTATTTTTTTCTTTATTGATTTGAGAGACAGAGGAAGGAAGAGGGAGAGAGAGAGAAACACTGATGAGAGAGAACATCGACTGGCTGCCTCCCACATGCCCCCCACTGGGGATCGGGCCCACGACCTGGGCATGTGCCCTGATCGGGAATCGAACCTGTGACCTCCTGATGCATGGGTCAACGCTCAATCACTGAGCCACACCGGCCAGGCGAGAATCACAGTACTTTAAAAAGGAGGGAAAACTAGATATTTTACATGATCAATATATTTTTCAGTACTTTTTTTTTTATATCTAGGAGATATAATTGATAAAATATCATCCTTCTACATAAATGGGTTTCCATGACAACCATTGACACATACTAAATGAAATCAGTGCATTTCTTAAAATCAGTGGTTTACATTATTTCCATGACAAACTAAGCATAGAGAAATATGAACTATAACTACCAGGAACAAATGATTATAACTATGTTTGGCTTAGATTTGCAGGGAAAAGTACTTTGAAACAGAAACCCAAGCTAAGCAATCTAAGGCAGGCACAGAACAAGACGAAGTTATCCCTGCCTCCTGGCCCACCTCGCGGGTACACTGCCCCTTCCGTCCCAGGCACTGGTTTAGGCACAGCGGCTTCCACAAGGAGAGCTGACTGCTCCTTCTCTCAAGGAGCTGAGCGTCTCCTGGAGGTGGAGTATACACGTAACGGTAGCAAGCACAGTGCAGAGAGGGGTGCGAGCAGGAGTCTGTGTGAGTTGCTCTTGAGGGATACAGTGTGAGCCTGATGGTCCGAGTTGGGTGGTGGTGGCTGTAAGGATGGAAGGTACAGAAGCAAGTGGATTGGAGCAGCGAGAGCACCTAGTGTGTTGGGGGGCGGGGGGAGAGTGGAGCCGCTGGAAGAGGAAGTAAGGAACAGAAAAATTGGAATCCAACCACGACTCATCAGTCCACCAGCCAACGTTCTAACAGTTGAGCCAAACCTGCCGTGGCTGTAGGTTTTAAATGAGGTAAGGGAGGTGAATGTGCGTGTGAATAGTGAGGATGTGACCCAAATGTCCCGTGGGGTCGATGCACGTGCTGAAGGGTAGGCATTGACTTGGGGGCTGAGAAAGACCATTACTAGCTGGAGCAGACAGGTTGAGCTTCCTGGGGTTAGAACTGCACTGTGGAAGTTGCTGAGAATCATAAAGACGAAGGAAGAGAAGAGAGCACAGGCATTACATTTGCAGGATTCACATAAGAAAAGGTCGGGAAACCACAACCTTTGTAACATTTTACAGCAGAATGGAATATGATGATACTCCTAACTCCATTTTCCACCCGTCCACCCAGATGTGCTCACTGAGTGTGTTCTCAGTGGTGGGGATGTAACAGTGAGCAACAAGATTTCTGCTTTCAAGGAACTTACATTCAGATGTGTGGGGGCTGGCAGGATGTGGTGAGAGGTTGAAAACAAAACAAATAAATATAAAGAAAATATCAGATAGTGATAATGGCTATAAAATTTTTAAAAAGGTGATATGATAGAAAGTGGGGGGATTACTTTAAATTGGATCATCAATAAAGGAGGTGACATCACATAATGTCAAATTCAGATGTACAAATAAAATATAACTTATGTTGCCATAATTTAGACAAGATAATGTTTATAAATCCAAGGCTAATTTATGCCATAAAAGGCTTATTTATGATAAGTATAGGGTATAATGATTGAAGATTGAATGCTTACCAAAAAATAAATAAAATTTAAAAAGCTCTTGGTACAATTAAGTCAGGAAAAAATAGTCTTTTCAACAAATGGTGCTGGGACAACCGGATATCCACATGCAAAAGAATGAACTGGACCCCCACCTCATACCATATGCAAAACTAACTCAAAATGGATCATGGACCTAAATGTAAGAGCTACAACTAAAACACTTCAAAGAAAACGAAGGAGTAAATCTCCATGACCTAAGGTAGGCAATGGTTTTTTTAGATATGACACCAAAAGTACAAGTGACTTTTGAACAACCTAATCAAAATTAAAAACTTTTGGAGTTAAAATGACACCATAAAAAAGTAAAACGATAATCCACAGAATGGGAGAAAATATCTGAAGATTTTGCATTTGATAAAGGACTTGTATCCAGAATATATAAAGAACTCTTAAAACTCAACAATATAGCCCAGCTGGTATGGCTCAGTGGTTGAGCATTGACCCATGAACCAAGAGGTCACCGGTTTGATTCCCAGTCAGGGCACATGCCCAGGTTGTGAGCCAAATCCTCAGTGGGGGGCATGCAGGAGGCGGCCAATTGATCTCTCTCATCTATGTTTCTCTCTCTCTCTCCCTCTCCCTTCTTCTCTCTCTAAAAATCAATAAAAAACAAAACAAAAAAAAAAAAAACACTAAAAAAACCCCTCAACAATATAAAGATGAGTCATTTCATTTTAAAAGCAGGCAAAATATTTGAAGAGACATTGCTCCAGCGATGACATGCAATGGCCAGTAAACACATGAAAAGATATCCAACATCATTACCATCATGGAAATGTACATCTAAACCCTAATATTAGATACTACTTTGCCTCTACTAGGATGCCCCCAAACACAAAAAAAAATCAGAAATAATGTTGGGCCCTGGCCAGTTTGGCTCAGCGGTTAGAGCGTCAGCCTGTGGTCCGGAGAGACCCGGGTTCGGTTCCCGCTAAGGGCACGTACTTCGGTTGCAGTTTGTCCCCGGCCCTGGTTGGTCGTGCGGGTGGCAGCCACTCGATGTGTCCCTTCATGTCGATGTTTCTCCCTCTCTCTCCCTTCCTCTCTCTCCCTCCCACTCTATCTGTACAAAAAATGGAAAAAATATCCTCGGGTGAGGATTAAAAAAAAAAAAAAAGAAAGAAATAATGTTGGCAAGGATGTAGGGAAATTAGAAAATTAAAACCCTCGTATGTTGCTTGTGGAATTGCAAAATGAAATGATGCACTCATTTTGGAAACCAATATGACATTTCCTAAAAAGTTAAACATAGACTTACCGTTTGATTCAACAATTTCTCTCCTAGCTATATGCCCAAAGAATTGAAAACATGAAAAACACACGAAAACCTGTACACAAATATTCATAACTGCATTATTAATAATAGCCAAAAAGTAGAAACAACCCAACACCATCAATGGATGAATAGATTTTTAAAAAGAAGTATATCCATACAATGTAATATCATTTGGCAATAAAAATAAATAAAGTACTGATACATACAACAACATGAATAAACTTTGAAAACATTATGCTAGGTGAAAGAAGCTAGTCTCAAAATGCCA